TTATCTATAATGCTTTGAAGCTTAATTTAAATGTGTAAAAAAAATTTTAAGACGATCGGAACTATGATTATTATGTTAGTTTCCTTATGGTTCCCCCACCCCAAAATGTGGGACTATTTTTTTTTTTTTTACTAAATGTAATTCATAATAAACACACTCCTTCAGGGAAGCAGAAAGTCTAGATGACTCGCTAACTATCATAGGTATAAATGATTTAAAGCTCTTCATAAACAGCCAATGAACCCTAATTTTTGGTGTAACACAAATAGTGACCTTCAGTTATAAAAACTTAAGTGACCCACCTTTGCTCTAAACAAAAATAGCTTGCTTAAGATAGCTATTAGTAGCACTATTAAGATAATAGGACAAAGATTCATATATTATTTTTCATCAATGCGTTGCCAATTAAATAATCAGTTGATGAAGAAACAAGCTTAGATTCATTTACTAATCTATTTCATAGACAAGCTCTTGTACTTTGGCACTGACTCAAAGCATCATGTCACTGTTCTCGTTGAAAGAAAGATTTAATGGCTGATTTTTCTGAAGGGTTTTTTAATAATACATTTTTAGATGGAACTTCCTAAGAGAAGGTCTTCAATTTAGTTTTCCTTCAGTAAGTTGTAGATAATAAAACAATGAACAGATCAGATAGTTGTGATATGGCCCAAATCTCTTTGAGATCGCCTAAGAGAACAAAGAATCAACACAATAAAACAGATCTACCACTGCAGAAATATGATTAAATTAACTACAAAGACATGAAAATAAAATATATTTGACTTGGTTAAAAACTGACCTACATCACAGGACAATAAAGCACAAATTGTTGTATCCCGACCCGGACCGGACTGAACCGGTTCAGAATTTCTCATGAACGCAAGCAAGCCTCCCGCCTCCTTTCACGCACGCAATCAGCCGCAATCTTCGTCTCTCTCGAACTCGAACGACCTAAGCGACTCCCAACCGCGGTTCCCTCTCTCCAATCGCACTACTCATGTGATTCTTCTCGCTCCTTTTGATTCTCCTACTCGTGCTCTCTCTCTCTCTCTCTCTCTCTCTCTCTCTCCATTCAGGGAGGCAAATAAATGCCTAGGACATCATGTTCTCCTCTTCTCCCTTGTTGGAGCCGCCGAAATCCTTTCTTCTCCTCCCTCTTCGCTCAATGCTTGCAACGACAGCTTCGAGTGAGTTTCTCCTTCAATTTTGAATCCAAACTCTTCTCTTTTCTCCTCCTTCCTTCATTCCTCCATTTTATTCTCAAGATATAGAAGTAGATATCCTTTTTTGTAGTACTTTTACTAGATTTAATTTGATGTTGCCTTGATTCATTATTATGATGGATTTTAATTTGTTTTTAGAAAAGACCTCATTATAGGTTTGACGTTTTTTACGGATTTGACCAAACCATAGTTTATTTACATATTTTTAGATTGTATTATTTCATAATTACTTTTGATGTTTATAACATGGCAAAGGTTGATTGGAATATTCTTCATTATGCCTCGATGACAATACTAAATGTTATTTTGGTTTTGCTACTTGAAGGATTGTGGCTTGATGGAGACGAATAACAACTTTCGAGGTTGGAGGTAGTAGCAGTCACTGTAAGTGACTATTATTTATTTTGGGATAAACGTACCCTTCTCTATTAGAGGCTTTATAATCTTGTGGCTTGTGATAGGTTTTAAAATATTATATTGTCGGTTATATTCCCAATATTTATTATTGTGTTTTGTCAAAAAGCATATTTATGACTCATATTGAAATCATCATGGGATAGAAATAGTATTATTATTATTTGTTGATGCACGAGCTTTTAACATTTAAAATGGTTCATGCTATAAAAGGTTAAATTCATATACATTAGTTCTATTTAATGCATCATATGATTCACATGTTGTAAATCATATTTGTTATATAAAACATAATTTATAAAAATATATATATATATATATATTTGTTATATAAATTGTAATTATCATGTTGAATTTCATAATATATGCTGATTATTTGTAACAGTACTTGCACTGTGTGATTATGTGTATATAGATATAACCCTATTGATTTTTGGCTAGCTGGGGTTGACGGGCCCCAAGAGTGAAATTGGGTTGGTGTTTATCTTCCCGATATGGGTATATGATAAACCGAAAATAGATATATCTATGTTTAAATGTATAAAAATAAAAGCAACATGAATTAAAAGTAATAAATGACTAATAGGTCATTTGGAGGTATAATAATATCTAGTGTGGTGCAGTTGTAAACTTTAAAGTGATTTGACATCAATAGCTAATTGGCATATATTCATTCATATTAGAATAGGTTGTAGAAAACATAACATATCTCATCACAATTTTTTATAGATAGTAGTTACTTGCTGAGATTGATTTATCAAACTTGTATGTTGTCTTTTTCAGCAAGTCCTGCAGGCACATTTGATGGACCGCCACCTCAGGTGCAGAGTTACCAGCAGTAGACTGTTTTTGGTATTTATTATTTGGTAGTAGTTTATTATGTTTATGTTTATAATTTATGTGAGTTAGACAGTTTCTTTCTTATTTTTCATTATATTTACATTTCTGTTGGCTTGTATCAGAATTCTTGTAATTTGGATGTTTTGGATATTTGACCTTCTATTAATGAATTGGCTCCTTATTTTACTTTCTATGTTACTTTGATGAATATATATATCATGTTGTATCTCTTGTATATGTATGATTCTCTTTGTGAATACAAAACGGGTCTTCTTATCCCTTCATCGCATTCCATGTTGTTGGGATGTACCGTCTTTCGAATCCGAGGTGTGACACATATAGAGTCTCATAAACCAGTCCAAGATTTTATATAATCTAACCAAAGTTCTTTCATAGATGAACCGGTCATATTCATGTCAATTTCAATCCAATTGATGAACTTAGTCTTCAAGCATCAATTTAAATGTTCCTAAAAATTCATTCCGAAATGAAGCCAAGCAAATGCCATTACAATCTTTAGTCCTTTTGCTCGATCTTGTTAAATCTGAGCATAATCGAACTCACATAGATTGGCATACCCGAGACTAATTGTGCATTGTTGAAATCCAACCGTTCCCTGTGCAAAGGATCCAACGGACACAAAGATCAATCCGTGGGATGCTCTCATGAATCACGCCATAATGAAGGAACGAATTTAGGAAAGATTTTTATGTATTAAATCTGTAGTCTATTATTTCCGCATTAAGATATCTTGTATAGATCTAAAAATAGGGAAGATTGTAATGAATAAAAACAAGCTTTTTTCCTCTCGTACCCCTCAAATTAACATGCATAAGTTGGTAGTGAACATGGCCGAATCTCTAAGATAAAGCTGTCCAGTACGCATCCAGTTTCAAACGGCTTGACTAATAAGACCAACTTAGCACACAAACCTTGACGAACTACTCAGTTCTTCCCACTCTTGTACAATTTTTCTCATACAGACATAAAAATCTGTTCATATCTTGATACAAGGGCAGCTTTAAGATGATCTAGGTAATACAAGGAAATTTCTCAAATTAACAACAATCCGCAAAACTAAAATCAGTAAAATTAAATGATCATGAATTTTCTTACAGTTAACCAATAATTCTGGACCTTCTGCCTGAGGAAGCTTTATGCTAACAGTTCGCAGGTCAACTTCATCCCATTCTTCAACGGCTCCTCCAAAAAAAAAAAAAAAAACCTTCCTGTCCTCAAATATTCATTTGCCAATAGCTAAAATTCACAGCCAGATCCACTACTCCAATCATCTTGAAGGCATGAGCTGGCTCTGACGCTGTAACCTACTTCATGAAGCTCCTTCACAATGTAGTATACTTGAGAGTTTTGAGGATAACTATTTCCTTTTCATGGACCATACCATCCGCTTTAGTAAAAAAATGTATGGGAAGAGAAAATTATGAATCTCTCAATATGCTCAAGAAACTCTAGAGTATCATGTTCTTATCATCTGCCATTTGCAAGCCAACCAATTAAATACCAACGAACACAAAATCACAAGAACAATAACAGCAACCCACGAAAGAAGATTCTAATGATAAGGTTTTTGAATGAACCAGTAAACTCTAAATTGAGGTGTAAAATCCGTTCAAAACTAGATCAATTTCAAAGAAATAGAGCCTTTAAATACAAGATTCCGAATTGCTAGGCTCATCTCCAAAATCTTCACTCCAAAAAACATTAACCATAATTCAAATTCTTGCTTTTTCTCCCCAGTGCATCAACGCCTCTCCCTTCATAGGTTTTTCTCCACTATGGTCTCAGTTCTCCAGATAAGTTCGTTCACCTCCTTATGCTCGATCTCTTTGAATCCCCAAACCAAATATCCCAAAAAAAATATAAAAAAACAATGTCATCGAGTAATTTTCCCTACTTCCTAACCAGTAGAAGCTGTTGCTGCATCCCTTGAGACTCGCTATTAAAGTCAGCATTTATTGAAGTGACATTCCAATTTGGAAGTAAGTCATGCACAGACTTGGTGGGCATTTGTTTTAAACAGTAAGCTCTCCACTGTGGTGCTTGGCAGCAAGAGACTTCTTACTGAATCTTGTAACTTATCAAAAGAATGCCAATGAATACTGACTAGTCATTTACAAAAAAAACATTGCTCTGCGCTTGTCAATTACAACTTACTACAGATATGTGTAGAATTGCAAAGCTTCGCCAAAACAGTGTTACTTATACTGGATCTGGATCCCAACAGAGGCAGAAACCATGTCAATGTAGCCTAAATCTACATCGTTGAAGTAATCTTCATGGTTCAACTGACGGAGAGAAGGTCAGTAATAGATGCTTGGAAGAAGCTGAATTCATAACAGTAGATCATTTTTGGTTTCTGACGGGGCCAAATTATTCTGCTGATAGTAAGATAAGGTGATGCTAGTTTGACAGAGTTCAGTTGGGCATGAAATAGTCGGGGCTTATACATCTAAATATGCCAATATAGAAAGGGTGAAAACAAGTTAGCTGTTTAGCAAATCAATCCATGTGTGAATCTCTGATGAACCTGTTGCAGGTCTCGATTAGTGAGTATATATCCTCTGATAGAGGATGAGAGCAATCTCCAGCAATGAAAACATGAACTTTATTCTGCAATTCAATCCAACTATATCCTGGGTGCTTGAAAACCCCTTTCCTATCCATTGATTCCCTCACTTGTAATGCTTCCTGCCATCTCCCCTCATCTGCATGTATATTGTACCTCAGCACATAAGAAGCACATCCGTTGGGCTCAATTGCGGCTAGGGCCTCTGCTGCTATATCAGCCAAACCAGGTTTGTTATGAATCCTACAAGCACCAAGAAGAGCGCCCCAAACTGCCCGGTCAGGAGGAATCACCATGTCTTTAATCACCTCCAAAGCTTCATCAAGCTTCCCATGCCGCCCGATGAGGTCCACAAGCACAGAATAATGCTCCACATTAGGCAATAACTCAAATTCCTTAACCATTGAATCAAATTCCCTTTTCCCATCTTCCACCAATCCTGCATGCCCGCAGGCATGCAGAACGGATACAAATGTTATTTGCGTTGGTCGAATTTTTGCAATCTTCATTTCCTTGAAGAGATGAAGTGCTTCCATAGCAAATCCATGGTGTGCAAATCCCCCTATCATAGAATTCCATGAGATTACATCCCTTTGCTCCATGTTTTCAAACACACACATTGCTTCAATCACACACCCGCACCTTGAGTACATGGTGATCAAAGAATTGTTAATTGGGGTATCTGGTACAAGTGCTTTAATGATGAGTTGGTGAATTTGAGTACCTTGCCTTAGAGATGCAAGTGCCGCACAGGCACTTAACAATGACGACATAGTATGTTTGTCAAACCTCTCACCAGCAGGCAACATTTCAGAGAAAAGCCCAATCGCCCCTTCAAAATCTCCATTCTGCTCATAGCCAGCAATCATCGTGTTCCAAGTGACAATCTCTTTATGTGGTAAATCGTCAAAAAAGTTTCTTGCTTTCTCCAATTCGCCCTTCTGGGTGAAACCAAAAATCATAGTGTTCCATGATCGAACATCAGGTTCATCCACTTGGCGGAAAAGAAATTCAGCCTCTTCCATTTCGAGAGCCTGTGAATAGCCAGTGATCATGGTGTTCCATGAGACCAAATCTCTCACAGGCATCTCATCAAAAAGTTTTCTTGCAGACAAAAGGTCACCGGCTTTTACATAACACATGATCATAGAATTCCATGAAACAACATTCCTCTGAAAGATTTTGGTCCTCCTACTCGGTGAGTTTTGATTTTGCTCGCAAGGAATCAAGTTGAACACACTCTGGGCTTCCTTTAACCTCCCAACTCTACCATACCCAACAATCAAGGTATTGAAAGCATCAACAGCTCCCTCGATTTCAGATACTTTAGTGCTCCTTAGCAGAATTTTTGTCGCCTCTTCCAAAAAGTTGTTTTGAATTAACCCCGAAACTAGTGCATTCAGTGATGCAGCGTCCTGAACGGGCATAATCTCAAACAACTCTACAGCGCTCTTTATGTCCCCAGCGCGAAGGAAACCTGTAATCACCGTATTCCAAGAAATAACATTTCTCTCATGCATTCCACCAAAAAGCTGCATCGCTTCAACCATCTTCCCATGCCTCGTGTACCCGCTAATTATGGTATTCCAAGAGACGACATCTCTTACAGGCATTTGATCAAACAGGCGACGAGCCTCCATAAGCTCGCTGCGGTCATATGAATTCACGTAGCCAGATATCATGCAGTTCCAGGATATGAGGTCTCTACGAGGCATTTCGTCAAACAGTTTACGGGCACGGGCAACTTCGCCGTGTCGAGCGTACCCAGAGATCATGGAATTCCAGATGAAGACATTGCGGTAGGGGAGGGAGTCGAAGACCTGACGAGCTTCACGGAGGCGACCTCGCCTGATAAGGTCAGAGAGAGCCTTGTTCTGCTGTCTGCATCCAGCGGCGGCCGTGTCGGTGGCGGTGGCAGCAGAGGCGGCGGAGAACGTTCGAATAGAAGATAAACGTACCAGGCTTCTCATGCCGCCGGCGGTAACATGATGAGTCTTCGAAGGGGGAAGGGACGATGGCACCTATGGCCTCGTCCTCGAGGAAAACGAACGCCACGGCCTGCGTCGTCGCCTCCGAGGAAGAGGAATTGCGGCGCGCAGCAACGTCAAGCTGGTGCGCGGGGTGTGTCGTTAAGTATTGCTTCTTCATCAGTCTGTGTTGCCTCTTATGGGCTGATTGTTTACAAAGCTAAAATGATTTCTGAGTTTTAAAGTTAAATTTTGTATTAAATAATTCTGAAAAAAATAAATAGGATAAAAAAAATTTATCAACTCCACATCCTTCTATTTTATTTATATTCTAAATTTTGAAAATATATGTCAAACAATTTATTAGAATTTAATTAAATAGGCATTGATTATGATTGTCATCAAATGACAACTATAAGACATTAGGTGTGTTGCATTTTGGAATATTTGCGGCGGTAGAGGAATAAAAAATTTAACGTCTTAGTCTAATACAAAGATTCAACACACATACATATAAAATTGTAGGGTGCAACATTCATAAACAACATCAAGATTTTTACATGAAAAATTCTAAAAAGGGGAAAAACTATGGGAACTGCCCTAGTTTGAATGAATCTACTAGTATTAATAGTTGATTATAAATAATACATAAACTCGGAGGAGGCTGTTGACTCAATGTAACAATATATATTGTATGTAGCTCGTTACATGATAGTTGTTTTTAAACGAGTGTTAACATGTCTGTTTGGTTAGTAGGACTGTAATCAACAAATGACGGTGGTCGAAGTGGACCGTAGTCGACAGGCAACAGTGGCCAGAGTGGACCATAGTCAAAGGGTGATGGTTTTCAGAGGGACTATAGTTAGCGAGTGACAATTGTTAGTGGGACTAGTTGGCGGGTAACAGTGGTCGGAAGGACCGTAGGCAAACAATAGTGGTCAGAGGAAGGCTCGTTATTAGCTTTCATATGGAGGTTCAACGATCATTGTCAGCCAGATGTTCATCAATGGTGGCTTTGTGGCACAGATTCGTTGGCGGTGAAGCCAGGGTGGAGCACAAGGAATTCAAACTCCATAACTCTTCCCTTTTTCCTCTCCCCCTCCTTGCACTCATGAGAATTTTTAGGGGTTTATTTATAATTATTTTAAAGTGACATAGCTAGTAAATATAGAGAATATCAATAGCAAGTTGGGAGTGCTCCAACAATGACTCATATTGATCTACTTCACCGTGAAGCATTTATCAAGTATATATGTGCTCAAATGATGTCAAAATTAAGCGATTTTGAGCTCATTGGATTCGTCACGTCGAGCCACTCGATTTGGCTAAGCATGTTATATTCGAATATCATTTGGTCATCTAATTTCTGTTTTGAACCTAACAAATGCACTTCATGCCCTCAACTTGGACCCATTTGAGCTCAAATTTGATCGATTTTGGTGTCGTTGGATTCGTCTCTTCAAGATGTTCAATTTGACTATACGTTTGCTCTTTGTTGGGTTCGTCTCTTCGGAGTTTGGATGATCCCGAATTTAATTTTGAAAACTTTCAATTCATATTTACATCGAGATTCGTTAATTAAGATGATTTTTTAACGAAATATCAATGTGATAGATGTCAAGTAAGAGAAAGTAATTAAAATGATTCTTCTCCTTAAATCAGGGAAGATCGAGGGTCGAAAAGCCCACGAAAAAGATCTAAAAAAATTACAAACAAGTGACTCGTGCATTTGGCGACAACCAAAACTCTGAAATAATCTCTGATATAAGAACTACTTATGTCGAAACTTTATCTATGTTGTATAAATATATGTATGAAGGAAGAAATTAACCACTCCAATTGAAATAAAAGCCAAATTGAAGGCCAAAAATCTCAAAGGCATAGCGCAAAAAGTTTGTTGAGTCAGAATTCATGATGCAGAAGCCAAAACAAATCTTTCTAATTAAAAACTGAGAATGTTTGAAGAATTAGCAAGGATGATAAGCTAAAAGCTCTTAGCTGAAATATTCTTCTTTATTGATGTGACTGGTTGAGAAGACTAAACAGCTACAAGAAAATCTGTTGAAGTTTACTAAAAATGTAATGATTATAAAATTGATGTCTAAATAATAATTTCTTCTACTGGAGAAAGCAGCTTCCTATCATAATACATTATTAAAAAGAGTGAAAAATTAATGACAAAATAAAAATTATGATTACAGTCTAAAAACACAAAAAAATAAAAAAGTCGTTACAAACGAAATCTTAAATGAAGTCTAAGACTTCGTTTGGGACAACTTTCTTGTTGCTTCTTAAAGCAACTTTTTAATATAAAAATTTTAATTTTTGTACTAAAAAACTGTTTTAAAAAACAACAACAAAGTCATCCCAAACAAAACCTAAGTCATAAGAAGAATATAAAAGATTTTAAATGCTCTATTGAATATATTGAAGACTGCCCCTCTATACTGAAATCAACTCCAATGCTTTGAGGGAATTGCTAATCAGATAAAACATTATGAGCTCTGATTTATTTGAAATTAGGCGAACTTATGTGGCTACACATTAGGTTGAAGGGGGAGGGAAGGCAAATCAAACTGCTTTACAAACTCCCAAAAAAAAGGGGCAGAATCTACCAATAATAATCTAATGTATGTTAATTTATGCCCAGTTTTTCTTCTTCACTGGTTATACACATCCAGTAACCATATCTACTTGCTCACAGAGCTGATCACAACTTGAGATGGCGTTGAGGAATGTTTAGTACAGCAGACAAAATTTTCTTTTGAAGCAAAATATTTTGCAGGTTTTTCATCTCATCATGATTTCCACACAATCTCACTCATAAATCTTAGAGCAGGAACACCTCTAATCTCTACATCTACCAGTGGTGCTTGGATTAGCTTCAAGTTCCTAAGCTCTGGATCGCTCTGGATCATCTCAAGTGCACGCATTTGATCCTGCAGTGAATATGTTTTATGGAGAGTTAATCATGGAGGAAAATATATCTTGAGATTATTACTGTATTTTGTTTTATGATGTTAGATATCAATAGTCCTTACATGTGGAATGGAAGTAGAGATAAGAGAATATATAAGAAAAAGAGAGAGAGAGAGAGGAGAATTGACTTGATCTATGTGTTGGTGCATCAAATTTATTTTCTCTAGTTTTCCATCTTATTTTTCTACTTAATAAATGAGAAAACCAAACATCCAACCAACTAAGGAAAGAAATGGGCCAAGCCCAATTAAAAACAGCCCGACGATAATAATCCAACCAGCCACAAAGGAGCAAAGAAGTAAAATCGGCACAAGTGAAAGGACCATGGTGTGAACCAACCTGAGAGCACCGAACCCAGCACGATCATGGTTGTTTTCGATCATAGAGAAATACAAAATAAAATACATAGTGTTCAAAAAAAAGTAAAATTTATAAAATGTAAATTCTTGACTACATAAATTCTCCCTTGGGGGAAGAATCTCATCTAATGACGAGAAAGTCTATATAATATGCTAGTAGATATCAAAACAACGAAGTTGCAACTCCTCAACTTTAATCCGAGTACAATCAGTCAGAGGATGTTCACTCCATCTAATCAAGAATCACCGGAGCACTCCATGTCTTGTTTGGGTAGTATGAATATCTACAATATCATCGATAAAATTATCACTGGTCTGAACTGGAACTGTAAGGGGTAAAGTTTCTATGTCCACAGAATCAGTCGGCTCTCTCTTATATAGTAAGATCGGCTACACTAAACACAGGCGAAGTTCCAACATAAGATGGGAGATCCAATAGATAAGCATTTGCTCCCAATTTACGAAGGATTCAGAAAGAATCAAATTTCTTTGGCTTAATTTGCTAAATGTACCAATGAGAAAGTGTTATCGCCGAAAGTAAGCCATAACTAAATCTCTTTCTTGAAAATAAAATTCTCTCCAATGCTTGTCGGCTACTGTCTTGTATTAGGCATTTTCCATGTGGAGTTTTTTTAGGATCTATTGTTGGATCGATTGAATGTGCTCAACAATTTCAGTAGCTTCAACACTGATTCGACCAGACATGAGTAATGAAGTGCGGTCCAAGATGTGGGGAATAGGTTGACCATAAATAATTTCAAATGGGATTTCTCCAGTGGATTGGTTAATGGAATTATTATAAGCAAATTCGGTTTGGGGTAAAAGCAAATCCCATTAAGAATGTCTTTCTCCTACAAGACACCTAAGCAAATATCCCAAACATCTGTTTACTACCACAGTTTGTCTATTAGTTTGTGAATAATATGTACTACTGAATTAGAGAGTAATTCCTAATTTCAACCAAAGTGTTCTCCAAAAATGACTTAAAAACCTAATATCCTTATCAAATATAAAAGTGCAAAGAATGCCATGCAGTCGCACAAGTTCTTTAAAAAATAAATCAACAACATGAGATGCATCAGAGGTTTTCTTACGAGGAACAAAATGTGCCATTTTATTAAATCAGTTAACGACAACGAACACAAAATCAAATTTTCGGGCTGTTATAGGTAATCCTAAGATGAAGTCTATGGTGATATCTTCGCAACGGTTTTTTAGAATTGAGAGAGGAGTATATAGACCAATGTTCTGACATGTTCCTTTGAATTGTTGACTAGTTTTACATTGTTTTAGAAATTTGGATGTATGTTTTCACATGTGAGGCTAGTAATATCATTATTTAACTAAGGTTATAGTCTTTCCTAGACCAAAATATTCTCCTAATCCTTCACCATGAAATTCTTGGATGAGTTTTTCGTGTAGAGAGCTTTGGGTGATACAAAGTCTAGCTCCCTTAAACAGAAATCCTTGTTGAATGATAAATTGAGCAATACGATCAGGAATTCAATTCTTGAAGTACAATATGATTCCCAAAGAGTTTTAAAATTTGGGTGTGTGGCATAGTTATCTTTCAAGAATCAAGGGAGACCATAGTTGGGTGAAGAGTTACTAATAAGTGGGCTCATCGGTTTAAGGCATCAGCGACTTTATTTATGACTCTAGCTTTGCGTTTAAAATAAAATGTGTATTATTGTAAGAAAGATGCCACCTTAGTACGTCTTCGATTCAAAATTTTTTGAGATCCCAAAATATTTTAATACTTTGTGATCGGAGTTTAACATGAATTCCCATTGAATAAGCTAATGTCTCCAGAATTTTAGGGCTTAGAAAATCGTATAGAACTCAACATCATACATTGAATATGGGAATCGGGTATCATTGAGGTTTTTACTAAAGAAAGCAATGGGTCGACCATCTTGACTAAGGACAACTCCTACGCCAATATGGGATGTATCACAGTCTATTTCAAAAATATTTTTAAAATTTAATAATATAAAAATAAGTACTTGGCTCATTTTTGTTTCAATAAGTTGAAATGTTTTTTTAGCTTCAGGGGTCCACCTAAATTTATTCTTTTTAAGACAATCAGTGACTGAGTATATCAAAGTACTGAAATTTTTCATAAGCCTTCGATAACAAAAATGCTAATCCATAAAATCCTGTAACTTCACTAATATTTTTTGGAGTCGACCAACTTCAGATTACTTCTATTTTAATGGGGTCGACTTGAGACAATGTATCCCAGGAAAGTCAAACTATGAGTCATGAAAGAGTACTTTTTAAGGTTGATGTACAAGCTATGATGCACGGACACGGACACGGCGACACGGACACGACACGACACGGACACGGGACACGGCTTTTTTAAAAAATATAGGACACGGGTACGGCGGGGACACGACAATACATTTTCGGTGTCGGACACTGCACGCCTCTTTGAGGAGAAGTGTCGATGCATCATAGTGTACAAGCTTTGGTCTCTTAAGGTTTGGAGGACTTGTTTCACATGCTCAAGATAGTCTTTGTGACAAGTACTATAAATCAAGATGTCATCAAAATAAACCACAACAAATTTTTTAATGAAGGGACGTAAGATCTGATTTATGGTTCGCATAAACATACTCGTTGCGTTTGATAGACCAAAGGGCATGACTATCCATTCGTAGAGTCATTCCTTTATTTTAAAGGCATTTTTTCACTCATCAATGGATCGTATTCAAATTTGGTGATATCCACTTCGTAGGTCAATCTCAGAGAAAATTTTGGCACCGCCAAGCATGTCAAGTATATCATCAAGTCTAGGAATAGGAAACTTATATTTTATGGTTATTTTATTTATGGCTCGATTGTCAACACGCATTCCCGAAGTTCTATCTTTTTTGGGTGTAAATAGGGCTGGGACGGCACATGGACTCATGCTTTCTTGGATTAATCCCTTAATTAAGAGTTTAGTCACTTGTTTGTGAAGTTCATGTTCAGTAGGACTTATACAATAGTGAGGCAGGTGGGGTAAGTTTGCTCTGGGTACAAGGTCAATATGGTGTTGGATATCTCTCAGAGGAGGCAAGGAATCGGGTAAATCTGCAAGAGTTATGTCTTCATATTCATTTATTAGAGGTTGTATTGCTTTAGGGATTTTTTGGTTTTCATCAGTATCTTTTTCTACCAAAAGATAGATTATTTCAAAGTTTTTGAGTTCATTTGTATTGAGAAGCAATTTAGGAGTGGGTGAATTTGAGGTTGTTTGAACAACTTTAGTGGGAGGGTTAGAAAGATTCTTTTGGGGATATAGGGTAAATTCTTTGTTCCCTTGAGTCAGGGTGTAAGAATTTTTCTTACCATTGTGAATGATCTTATGATCATATTGCCAAGGTCAACCTAGTAAAATATGACATACTTTGAGTGGCATGATGTCACATAATACTTTCCTGGGAGGGTTAGAAAGATTCTTTTGGGGATATTGTCTATTGTTTCTATTTTGGTTTTCTGATGCTTCATCTTCAATTTTAATGTTTTGATTATTAGCATTGTTTAGATTTAGTACATACAGGGTATTAGCAATTGTTTCCATTTGTTGTAATAGTTTTGTTAATTGTTGCCGATCAGATTCTTTATTATTTTGATTATTTATTTTTTAAAAGAGAAATGAAGACTTGCCCTACAACCTAAGGCTCTGATAACAAATTAATGCAACCTAAGTTCTTAAATCAAGAAGGAGAATACTAGACATGCAGAAAAACACTTCCTTTCAATATCGCATGAACAAACACTAAATGATGGAAACTTAGTAGAAAATCAAATGTAGGAACATGGTTAGGCAGTCGCACAAGAAAACAAAAAAACAAAACACATAAATTATAATACCCTCAGAACAACCACGAGTGGTCATCTCACATGCACATCACAAAATAGGGGAAGACACTCAAAAGAAAGAATAAACCAGTGATCCACCACTGAAATTATGATCTAGCACAAGTCAATGCTCCTTTGGCAAATACCAACAGAACAGGGCACAAGACCTCCTTACAACTCTCAATTTTTTTAGAGAAAAAAGATACAAGTGGAAGGAAAACTGTATAGGGAAAGTAAGACCAAGAGGAGGAAATAAGGGTTAAGAAAAGACGACAGCTCGCAAGGTTAAAAGAAACCCTCATATTTTTGTTTTCACTTTCAACAACTCCCTACCATAGAAACTCAACCACCATATATAGGAGGGAGCAAAAATAGGAGGGAGGAAAGAGCATTAATTTGTTCACATGAACGCGCCTCCAAATCAGCCAATAAGAACCACCCAAATCAGCCCTCACAAGGAAAAGCCAAAGCAGACTGTATAGGAATCAGCAAGAGGAAATCGAATAGCCAATAGTAGGGAAACCAAACAACCAACCAACTAAGGAAAGAAATGGGCCAAGCCCAGTTAAAAACAATCCAAAGATAATCACCCAACTAGCCACAAAGGAGCAAGGAAGTAAAGTCGACACAAATGGAAGAACCATGGTGTGAACCAATATGAGAGCACCGAACCCAACATGATCATGGGTTGCTTTTCATCATAGGGCAATACAAAATAAAATGCATAGCGTTCAAAAAAGTAAAATTCATAAAATGTAAATTCTTGACTACATCAAAAACCTTTAGAATCTAAGTTTGACCTCCATAATTCAAGTTTATCTTCAACTCCCTCTACAATCTTACCAACAAGAAGAATATCATAAGCAAAAAACATACACCAAGGTACATCCTCTTGCAAATGTCTAGTAAGAACATCCATGATTAAAGAAAAAAGATATGGGTTAAAGTTGATTCTTGATGTAATCCAACTAAAATAGGAAAATACTTGGTCAAATAACCTTGTGTTTCAACACAAGTAACAACTCCAACATACATATCCTTAATGACTTGAATAAAAATATTATTAGCCCATTTCTTTTCTAGAACTCTTCGGAGCACTTCTCTTGGAACTTTATCATATTCTTTCTTTAAATCAATAGATATCATAAGTAAGTCCTTATTTTCTCTATACTTCTCCATCAAACCTCTTAATAAATGTATAGATTTCATAGTAGACCTAACCGACATGAATCCAAATTAATTTTGAGAAATATCAATATCATGTCATAACATATGCTTAATAACTCTCTCCCAAAATTTTAAAGTATGACACATTAATTTAATTCCTCTACAATTAAAACATTCTTATGCATCACGTTTATTCTTAAAAATAGGAATTAACACACTCCTTTTTTACTCATCTGGCAGCTTTTTAATCTTCAAAATAACATTGAAAAGTTTTGTAAGCCAAGAAATTCCTTTATCTCCTAAGCATTTCCACATCTTTAATAGGATATCATCAGGTTCAACAACTTTTTCACACATCATTTTCTTTAAAGCCTCTTTAATTTTGGTTTTACTAATGCAACAATAAAAACAAAAATTTATATTTTTATTTAGGGTGCTAAGATTATTAAAGTCAATAGTATTCTCACAACCTTCATTGAAAAGTTTATCAAAATATCTCATTCACCTTTATTGAATATCCTCTTCTGTAAAAACACTTTTTGATCTTCATTATTAATATATTTCACTTAAACTTTACTTTTTCTCTTTTTTTATTTGGCTAACTTATACATATATCTTTCGCCCCCTTTAGTATTTAATCTATTATATAACAATATAAATTATTAAAAGCTAAATTCTTTGCATCGCAAATTGCCTTTTTAGACTCCTGACGAACCTCTTTATATATTTCCCAATTTTTCGAGCTTTTACACTTAAATCAATTTTTTATAACAAAGCTTCTAATTTTTTATCTTTTCTTACACATTTTAAAAAACGAAAAAAAAAATTAAAATGGCCCTTTAACTTTCAGTGCCTTACCTTCCTTTTCATTGCACAAAACTTGCAATCTGATGCAGATGGTGGTAGAACCTGATTAACAATAAGCCTCTTCACTGGTACACTCTCTTTCTTCAAAGACGCAGAAAGTCTGGATGACTCATTAATTGCCATGACCTAAAGGAACAAAGGAAGAAGTAAAAATTCTATGCTGCAAAAATGGATATGTCCAGTTATAACGTTTCAATAGATTGCACCATGCTCAAATCAAATCGAGCTTGCTTGGGATAACTGCAGCTTTTGGGAAAAAATAATAATAACTCAAATAATACAATTTGTAATAGCAATATTGGACAGTAAAATTCGAAATTAATTTTAAAAAAAGGATACATTAGAGGGAGTCGCATTAAAATTTTCTTTTTGGTTTTTGGTGAAAAGGAATTAACATTAATTGGGTGGAATGTGGAAGATTGTACTATACCGTTGGAATAGTCACAATAACAAATTCAGTGGACTCTGTATCACGAAAAAGCTCCCGCACTTTGATCATTCTCTCCCTTAATTGCTCCAGCTTATCAGACTATACAATACAAGAGCAAAACTTATTAGCTTTTTGGAAATCATATTCTGGTTTTTAAAGGACTCACACTTACAGCATCTTCTCGTGGTTCTTCCTGTCCAAAGACAGATTTAATGGCTGATGTTGCTGAAGTTATCTTCTTTTTTAGCTGAAACAAGCAAGAATTTTGTTGAGGTATCAAAAAATAATATGAAAATTGGCATATGTTGGGTGAATTCTGATGCTGTAATAAAAGGATTGATATTCATAGAAAGGATAACCAAGCTAAAACTTTATGGTTCAAAGGTAAGAGCTGAATCCCAAATAAATTCATCAATGGATTCTTCATGTAATCAAAACACTGAACAGCTAAGTTTTGTGCTAACAAAAAACCCGAAGGAGCCATATTAGTACCCAAGAATATAGTGAGACTATAAATAGCATCGACATGGAAAGAAGGTTATCAGATCGCAGGAGATTGCCCCAATATGATAATAACGTTACAGAGCATGAAGGCGAATATGATGAAGAAGAGAAAAAAACAACAGTCTACATTTGTAGTAACATAGTAGGAAAAGCTAGAGAAAGCACAATCAAGAGCTACCATCAAGCAACTTGAGAAGGAAAATTCGCTATTTCTAATTTAAAATTCAAGAGGAAATTTCCTTAATAGGGTGAGTCCTGATCCAAAAGGATCAAGATAAAGAACATTACAGAGAGTGAAAAAGTGTATATATATATATTGTGTTACTACTCCAAAAAGATGCCAAGCCAGTCACATTATTTATTATATGATACCTAGAATGATAGAAAAATCCCTGATGTCAAATAGTAATTAACATAGATAATAAATAATTTGAACAAAATAAAGTCTGACTCATCGCAGAAATTAACTTCCAGGAGAGAAAATTTTGAGGAAGTACTACCTTCAGAATCTTACCAATGGATGCATCTAAAAAATCTGGTAAAGACAAAAGCCGAAGAGTGTGGCCCTAGTCAATTAAAATAAAAAGATATGTTAAAAATAGTTTATTAATGCAAGTAATGGAATTCGAGCACAAAGCTTACCGTGGGAGCAGTATCAAAAACTATGCGGCTAAACATGCTATATTCCTGTGATTCAAGAAATTGCATGACCTGGATGCGAGAGTTCCATCAGGAATAGAGAGGAACCACAAAGAAACATAACCATTGAAAACAATTTAAATAACTACTAATTTGTTTCGGGATTTCATACCTTCGATATTGCAATAGCTTCATCTAATCCCGGGGGAGGTGTGTCAAGTAGCTCTCCTAGTTTTAGCTCTCCAAGCTTTGATACAAGGATAAAAAGAAAAATGGACAAATAATTAAAAAGAATTTAAACAAGTTGTAATAAGAAACATCATTTTCCTAATACTACTCTTACTAATTAAAGCAATTACTGGAAAAAAAAAAGATAGGATTTGCTACAATTATTAAGACCTATTGTACAGCCCTCAAAATCATATATTAAAGATGTTATGAAGTGTTGAACAAAATGGAATCAAAGTTGGATTTGATAGTTAACTCATTTTCAATTAAAAGCTTAAGGCTGTGGCCTATGAGTGAGCTTCAACCATTTGGTATTTTTACACCAAAATGTTTTTCACCTATCCAATGAGGGATTAAACAAAAACTCTCAAATGTATTAAAAATATCCCACTCAAGTGAGAGCTCTGCATATCGGCCATTAGTTCCCCTCAAATGGAAGTTTTTCAAAATCATTAAATATCTACAACAAGAACTCACTCGACCACATGAATAATGCTCAACGATGTTGAAGGCATCAAAGGCTGAGAGACATAAATTGCATGAATCACTTGATCCAAGTTAATTCATCATCTTTGATATCACCTATTAACAAGTGTGACACAAAGGGCAGAGAAAGTTGAGTCTAATAACATCAACAATCAAATAGGTTTTCAACCCAAAAATTTAAGTACATAAGTGAGAACAAAACACTTATACTTTCACACCAAAATATTGTTTACCTATCCGAAGAAAGCCTAAGCACAAATATGATGGACTGGTGACTGAGCCGCTGGGCTCCACTATGGTGGGCAATGGGCAAGAAGAGAGGGGAATTTGTTTATGAAGGTTTTAATTACAATTTGGAGCGAATTAATTAGGGAAAGCAATCTAATTTGAATTCAATATGATAAGGAATTATTTAGGGAAAGCCCATAAGAGTTAATATTCATTATGTAAGGAGGAATCAAGGGGAATTGTATAGGAAAGTTTTTGTTATAATTGGAAGCGAATTAGTTAGGAAAAAGAAGCTGATTTGGGAGAGAATTAGAAAAGCATGCTAAGGCTAACTATAGGGTGATTTCAGATTATGCTTGATTTTGTTAGAATTAATTTTGCTTAGGTTGAGTGGGCTCTAGCTGACAGCTAGAGATTTGGGAGAGCCGGATCTTCCTCTCTAATTGAAGATCCACCTGTAGCTTGTATTTTTCTTCTTAGTTCTTTCAATAAAAAAAGAGTTTATGTGTGTTCTTCTTCATAGTTTACTTGTGTTTATTCTTTAGTCTAAAATTAATTTCAACCAGGGGTTTATTTTGTTTCTATAAGAATTTCTTATCAAATTGGTATCAGAGTATAAATACAGGTACATATGGCAGGAAGAAATGTAGAACTGTTAGTAGGATGATTAGACAATTGAAATCTAATTTTGCAGAAAAGATTTCAGATTTCAAAAAAAAAATCAGCTATTCATGAGAAAATCTATAAGAAATTTGTCATCATGGAGGAGATGATAAGGAAGATGCTGGAGTTCCAAACCAAATGGAGTCTTTGGAGGTGAGAGGAGCCGCCGGAAACCAAGAGAATGGAGAAAATCCTAATCCGATAAGGAGAGGGGAAGATCAGGAGGTGGAAATATTTGGGGAAGAAGATGAGATGTCACCCTTGGAGCCACTTCCAATGAGGGGAAAGGGTGAATAAGTGGGATTTTTGGGAAGCGGCAGAGTTTGGAAGGAGAAAAAGACAGAGAGAAGATAGAAATACAAGACATGGTTCAACCACCTATACAATAGTATTGAGGGGTGTCCCAGCCAGTTCAGGAGTTGCCTACTCCATAAAAATGCGAGCATGTTATCATCTTGAAAGGAGCCTCACTAATCAGTGTTCGCCTGTACGGTCATCCCCAAATCCAGAACGAAGAGATTGAGAGATTGATCAGAGATGCTCAAGAAAGAGATCATTTGACCTAGTGTTAGTCCATTTTCTAATCTACTGCTATTAGTCAAGTGCTTCTGCAACAATTTCCTTCGTTCTACCTTGAGGACAATGTGGCTCTTTGGGAGGGGAAGATTGATGTACCGGTAGCTGAGCTGGTGGGCCCCCATAGGGTGGGCGGCAGGCAAGAAGAGAGAGGGTAAATTGTTTAGGAAGGATTAAATTGCAATTGGGAGAGAATTAATTAGGAAAAAATTTTAATTTGAATTCAAATCTAAGAGGGAATTATTTAGGGAAAGTCCATGGGAATTAATATTCATTATGTAATGAGGAATCAAAGGAGAATTGTTTAGGAAAATTTTAGTCACAATTGGGAGGGAATTAATTAGGAAAAGATATCTAATTTGAACTCAATTCTGAGAGGGAATTATTTAAGGAAATGGGGCTGATTTGGGAGAGAATTAGGGGAGCCTATTAATGCTGACTATAGAGTGATTTCAGATTATGCTTGATTTTGCTAGAATTAATTTTTCTTAGGTTAAGTGGGCTCTAGCCGATGGCTAGGGATTTGAGAGAGCCAAATCTTCCTCTCCAATTGAAGATCAACTGTACTTGTGTCGTTCTCTGGTTTTGCTGAAATTACATCCACTTCCTATCAAAATACTCTAACGTGTCTTAACAAAATACTCATGGAAATCAAAGATCCATTGTATAATGCAAATCCAATTGATGATTGATTGAAGAGCATCAGTGATTTCATAATTGCTACAATTGCACATTTCAAAAAAAAAGAGCTTTCACTGCACTTGCTGAACAATGTACATCTCAATCATCAATTAATGCTAAACATGAAACACATGCAGTTAGAAGAAGAGATGCAAGTAGGAGGTAAAGGCCTAAAATGACACTCTATTAATCGATTTATAACAGGTCTAGTCACAGATAATTGACAGTTCTATGGATAATGCTCAATCTTTAAATCCTTATGTTGTCAATGAAAATTAATTAAAGGAACATCAACCATTGTACAGAGAGGCAACATAGAAATTTGGCATGTTTTATAGACAAATATGAATATGAAGATGGTTTCTAGGTTTTACCTGATCAGCAAGCATACCAAGCCCCATACTATCCATAAAATCTTTGACTCCAGTACCTCCAGTTTTTTGACTAGTACTACGAAATTCCTCCCTAGATTTATCAGGATTTATCTGTGAAATAGACATTTTAATTGAACATGCCGCAAAGCACACCAAGATAAAGCCAAAAGCACAACTAGTAAACTGGCCAAACATAGTTGCCGTATAAATAAAATAATAGTTTCTGGAAGGTAAATTTCTCTGTTAATATGAAATATGGGCAATCAGATATCTGACCTCAAGTGCAAACAAGGGAGAATCAACTCCATTAACAGGTATCAACGTTCCACCAGTTAAGTCCTAGAAATATATTAACAAACGAAATCCAACATTAGTTTCACGCTCCCATTTGGACAAGGTATCGAATAAATAATTAGCATTTTAAAGCTAATATCAAATCTCATCAGAGATTAACAATGAACCTGTGCAAAAGAATCACTTAAAGAATGTGCAGGATCAGTTGAGACTACAAGAGTAGGATGACCATTATTTGCAAACTTAACAGCTAATGAAGCTGCACAGCTTGTCTTCCCAACACCACCTTTTCCTCCAAGCATGTAATATTTCCTCTTAGTACTCGTAAGCATCTCATCAAAATCTGCAACGGATCCTGCTGGGGTGGCAACTGACCTCACTGCAAAGTTCTTAACAATATGAGTTAAGTTGGGGGAAAATGAAAAAGCTTAAGGCATAATATAACCAAAAGCATATTATATTTGAAGTTTAATAGTAACCGAGATTGATTTCTCACATTGTTTAATCAGTTCAAGATGCAGGACCACACTACCCCCTTTCGGTGATACACTTATGTTATTATTTTTATACAACGAAATATATTTTCTGTTATTTCGAGAACAATTCGGTTTTAGAAAAGGTATTTTCCACCTTGTCTCGTAGTGCTCTGCTTTTCAGTTTTATTTTCTAGTTTGGATTATTAGCTGGCTTTGATAAAATGATAACTTGTTTGAGAATTAGAGAATATAAATTCCTCATTTAGGTCTTTGGGGTGTTACAATTCAGTCCCCTTTCCCACCAAAATCCATGAGCAAGTTACAAGAACAATTTGAAGATATTTGACCAAAATAGTTATTGTCCCAATTGCCACCTCTAAAATCTATTTAGCATTAGATTGACTTGACACTGGGTGCGTAGCCACCTAACATGCCACACTACGAGATGAGTTACAAGGAGCACAACATCTTACGAAATGGTCAGCGCACTACTCAAAAATGACCAAAATAGTTATTGTCCCAATTGCCACCTCTAAAATCTATTTAGCATTAGATTGACTTGACACTGGGTGCGTAGCCACCTAACATGCCACACTACGAGATGAGTTACAAGGAGCACAACATCTTACGAAATGGTCAACGCACTGCTCAAAAAGCAACTCATTCAATATAGTCTCAGCCTATTCACAGTCCCAACTTTACTTATGCCAACAAAAAAAATGAAATCTGGCATATGTGTGTAAACAATCATAAATCAAATTATAATCAAGTATCATTTCGCTTTTCCCTGATTAAAGAATATGTTGGACAAACTGGATGGCACTATGTAATGGATAGAATCAAATTCGTGTTCGCCCAAACAACAAATGAAAAATGGCTTTTAAAACACATGAGTGCCTCTATGAATGAAAGGTTATGCTGGTATGACTATGCAACGCATCCAAAACATACATGCGACTAATGACTGAAGTATTCAAATCTTTTTTAGGCTCCTTTTGCACAATTTAATTTGATGATATACTTGTATTCAAAACTTTCAAATTAGATCATCTTCAACAACTTATAAGAATTTTCAAAGCTCTTTGACAGCACAAGCTATACCTCATTATTTTCAAGTGTGAATTTATTAAAGCTAAAGTCGGATTCCTCAGCTTCATCATCAGTTCCAATGACATTCAGATGTATCTCAAGATGGTTATAACAAATTTAGGATTGGTCAATCCCAAGTCTCTATTTGAAATGCACAACTTCCATGGATTAGCTAATTTTGTTTGTGGATTTAATGTAATTATCTCACCCATCACTATTATTTCAAGGCAGAGCAATTCTCATGGACCTTTGATCAACAAACGACGAGCTTTGAAACAATCAAGGAGCATTGAGTACATCTCCTAATTTAGCTATACCCAAGTTCGAAAAGGACATTCAAGTTGAAACAGATGCCTCTATTGCTGGCATCGGCGCCATGCTCTCACAAGAAGGCAAACTAATCAAGCTTTTTTTTTTGTGAGAAGGTGAGTCGACCACAACAAAAAATGGAGCGTACATGAATAGGAGTTATATGTGATAATTCTGGAACTTAATCAATGGGAACATTACATTTTATAACAAAATTTTGTTTTCTATACAGACCACCAAGCCCATGGTTCCTCAACTCTCAGAAAACCCTAGTAGCATGCATGCATACCCGTTGGGTTATATTCATAAAGTAGGATCCAAATACAAGGTGGCAAATGCACTCAGGAGGCATTATATTTTGCTTGTTATTTTGCAAACCAAGATCACTAGATTAGATTCTATACAGAACTTATATTGCAACGACAATGACTTTGTAGAGCCTTGGATGCAATGTGTTGCTTATCATCTAGTCATCACCAACTACTCAATTCAACATGATAACCTGCTCAATGGAAAACGACTTTATATCTAGAACACTTTACCACGTACACAACTGATTAAAGGCTTTCATATAGACCGGCTTGTTGCACATGTAGGACGCAAAAAAAAAACTCTCGCTAATCTATAGCTCATATTTTGTTGACCAGAATTATGGGAAGATGCCATACGCTTAATGAAGAAGTGCGTTGTTTATCAAACCATTAAAGGCGCTTTACAAAACATTGTTTGTATATGTCTCTACCGATACCTAATTCAATATGGGAAAAACTAAATTTACATTTTGTCCAAATCTTACCGCAAACTAAATGAGGAGCCAACTTTAATTGTCATTATGAATCAATTCTCTGAGATCGCGTGCTTCATTTCCAATAAGAAAATCTTTGAAGATGTCAATTTAGTTTGCCTAATGTTCCACAAAATCATGACTCCATAGGTTACCTGAAAGCCTCAAGTCGAGACATTCACTAAGTTCTTTAGGAGTTTTGGCAAGAACTATGGAAATGATTGCTAACAGATTTGTGGTCAAGTTCAATTTACCACCATAGACTGACTAGCAAATGGAGGTTATGAATCACAAGCTTGGCAACATGCATCACCGTTTAATGGGTGATCTCCCAAAATAGGTGATGATGTTATAAGAATGGCTAAGTTTGCATTCAATTCAGTGGCCAATCAATCCATTGGACAATTTACACAACATTAAATCCAAACTCCCAAAATATAACAACAAATACAAACAATCCATAGATGCCCACCGACAAAATAAAACCTTCAATGTCAAAGATAATATCATGGTATATCTTCAAAAGGAATGCTTTCCTCTCAACACCTACTCTAAGCTAAACCCGCATAAGTTAGGGCCCATGCCTATTGAAAATAAATTCAATGATAATGCTTATGTCAGCACTCTCCTTTCAGATTTACACATCTCCGCTACATTCAACACTCCAACATAAATGCTTATCATTCACCGAATGTGCTAACGTCGAACTTGACAAACTAGAGTCAAGTTCTTTTAAAGTGAAGGAGAGCTAATTTGCTAATGCAAGATCACACTACCCTCTTTCATTACACATACATTTAGTTTGTTTATTTTACACAGTCCAGCATCTTTTCTCTAAAGGGGATCATTTCAGTTTTAGCAAAGGTAATTCTCACCCTGGCTCATGGTGCTTTATTTTTCAGTTTTGGCAAATAAGTATAAATACATGTAATAGGCCTCTTAGAAAAGGTATGCATTAATAATCTTTGTTTTTACCCTTTGATAATATACAAACACTCTATTTTTTGAAAGACTATGCTTCCTCTCGTGGTAATAAGCGTCGTAGATGCAAGCCTATAAAATTTGTTGGCTAGTCTTTGTGGTTGTTCCAGGCCTCTCGGTGAGGCTTTTGAGGGTTCTCGGAAGCTAGTTGTGTTAACATGTAGTGTTGTTGGGGTATGGTATTGCCTTGGTGGCTTTTTTTGCTTCGGTTGGTTATTCTAGGCTGGTCTTAGGGTCTTGGCTTGTGATTGTTGTTGTTTGTTTATGTAGCTTTTGTTGGGTGTTGTTGTCGACCTTTATTGGTTGGTTTTTTGCTTGTTCTTGTTTGTTTGCCTCTATTTTTGTGGCTTTGCAAGTGTATCTTTCGTTGGTGTGGCTCCTTTTGTTGCTGCCTTGTCGTGGCTCCTTCTGGTTATGATGGTTGCAAGTGGCTTCCATCTTGTTGTTTCCATCCTTTGGGCTGGCTTTGATTGGATGCTTTTCTTTCCTTTTTATTGTTCAATTGTAATAGATTGACTGATAGCTCTTAGGTTTTATTTTAAATATTATATTTTTAGCGAAGCTTCTAGTTCTTTAAGGACATGTATGCCTCTGCCAATACCTAATTCGATATGGAAAAAACTCATTCAAATTTTGTCCAAATCTTACCGCAAACTAAATGAGGATCCAACTTTAATTGTCGTTATGAATCAATTCTCTGAGATTGCATACTTCATTTCCTATAAGAAAATCTTTGAAGATGTCAATGTCATTTGCCTAATCTTCCGCAAAATCATGACTCCATGGGTTACCTGAAAGCCTCAAGTCGAATCGTGACACTAAGTTCATTAGGAGTTTTGACAAGAACTATGGAAATGATTGCTAACTGATTTGTGGTCAAGTTCAATTTATCGGTATAGACCGACTAGCAAATGGAGGTTGTGAATCACAAGCTTGCAACATGCATCACTGTTTAATGGGTGATCTCCCAAAATAGGTGATGATGTTATAAGAAAGGCTAAGTTTGCATACAATTCTGTGGCCAATCAATCCAGAGGACAATTTACACAACATTAAATCCAAACTCCCAAAATCTAACAACAAATACAAATAACCCATAGATGTCCATTGACAAAATAAAACCTTGAATGTCAAGGATCATATCATGTTATATCTTCAAAAGGAATGCTTCCCTCTCAACACCTACTCTAAGCTAAACCCGCATAAGTTAGGGCCCATACCTATTGAAAATAAATTCAATGATAATGCTTATGTAAGTACTCACCCTTAAGATTTACACATCTCCCCTACATTCAACACTCCAACATAAACGGTTATCATTCACTGGATGTGATTAACGTCCAACTTGACAAACTATAGTCAAGTTCTTTTAAAGCGAAGGAGAGCTAAGGCAAGACCACACTACCCTCTTTTCATTACACATACCTTTAGTTAGTTTATTTTATACAGCCCAATATCTTCTCTTATTAGGGGATCATTTCAGTTTTAGCAAAGGTAATTCGCATCATGGCTCATGGTGCTTTATTTTTCAGTTTTGGCAAATGAGTATAAATACAGGTAACAGGTCTCTTAGAAAAGGTATGTATTAATAAACTTTGTTTTTACCCTTTGATAATATACAAACACTCTATTTTCCCGCTGCTTCTTCTTGGTTGTGTTTCTCTATTTCTGCTACTATGTCAATTCCTCAATTGCGGACAATCTTCCTAAATTGAAACATGCCGAGCAAAATTTCAAAATAACACAAATCACTGCATCTCTTCAAAAGAAAAGTAGCATACATGATTTTCCTTTTTCGATTTCATTAGAGAATATAAAAGGAATCATTGAACTTTTTGGGCAATGTTAAATGGGATTCATTCCACATGAATTAATACTTCATAGAAATATGGTTCAATGAAATCCAGATGGTAGTTAGAGCTGCAAACGAACCGAGCCGACATGAATCCTTTTTCTCCATTGTGTCCTATTAAAAGTCAAATTCTCGTTTAAATCTAATAAAGAAATGTCATTCCTAATATTTTCTAACCAAGTCTTTTTAGGTCTACCCCTACCTTTCTTAACATAAGTTAAATCTAATACCTCAAATCTAATCTCGTTTAAATCTAAATTGAAACATGCCGAGCAAAATTTCAAAATAACACAAATCACTATATCTCTTCAAAAGAAAAGTAGCATACATGATTTTCCTTTTTCGATTTCATCAGAGAATATAAAAGGAATCATTGAACTTTTTGAACAATGTTAAATGGGATTCATTCGACATGAATTAATAACTTCATAGAAATATGGTTCAATGAAATCCAGATGGTAGTATTGTCTAGAATGCATTACATGGTGTTTGATTTCTTGCCATCTCCCGTAGTTTATTTGTATGATAATAGCAGTCCATATTGAGTAGTCAAGATAGTGCATGAATTGGATGCTATCAAGATTACCTCGACATTCAATGTTTGTTGAATTTCATGTGATCTAACACCTTGCATTTTGAGGGTGCAAAGGGACACCATACCAATTTATTTCCCTATAGTCACTTGTAATACCATACGAGTTTTACAATAGCAGTATTAGGGAGTGAAACAAAGAGGGTCAGAGTTAAGCTTGATACACCAACAATAAGCTCTATTTTCAACCCAAAATCTTAAACTAAAGTGAGGACCAACCACATGAGATTTTTACACTAACATGTTTTTCCACTATCTGATACATGACTAAACCCAATTTCTCATGCACATTAAAAATCATAACAACAACAAATGGGTCATAATGTGCGAGACAGACATAGACATCAAAACTGATACTAAAATCCTTCACCGCACCAACTTGCTAAGATCAAATGACCAAGCCTCCAACATTGATCAGAGTGAGACCTCTAACAACCAACTCGCCAAGATATCCTGCTTTCTTTGTTCACCGTATAAGTCAAAGACAATGTCAAGCCTTTTTGCAAAAATTCCCACAGCAGTTCCATGTTACAAATGTAAGAAAAATCAACATCATAACAATCATATCTTTAGCTTTATCCTACCTCTTTGGTATCGGCTAAAGAACAAGCTACTTTATTAATTTAAAAAATGTCAAATGTATGTAAACAAAGAACAAGGACTACCAACTAAGGTTATCAGTTTTAGAACTCCGTTAAGAAAACTCGTTTTAATTCCCCCAATAAAACCTGCATCAGTACATTGAAGATCAAAACTTAAAGCCTAATTCAGAGGCTCATATCAAATCCAGCCGCAACAAAACCCTAAAATTTCAACAGGGGGAAAAAATTATCAAGCTGACCTTGAATTACGACAAAGCGGCGCTCGCTGGCGCATGACCGCATGGGATATACTTTCTGAGACGCGGGACTCATAGAGAAGCCGCGGTGAGCTGCCGCGAGCGACAGGCGGCGAGCGAATTGAGGCGCTGGAGACAGCAACATCTCCAATTTCAGCGGAGGGCGGCGACTGACCGTATGTGGCCGCCGTCACTCCCTTCGATCTCATATAGAACGGTCAGTCTCCCCCGTTGGATCCTTGGAAACACGGCCACGCTACGGGCTGGCTGTTTGGACAGTCAAAATTATGTATTTTAGTGATGGTTTAGGATGGTTTTTTTATTGCTTTTTAAAATAAATTTTTAGTACAAATTTTTTTATTTTTTACTAAAAATTCTGTTTTAGAAAACAATAAAAAAGCCGTTCCAAACTAAGCCTTAGAAAGATTTAAATTTTTATTTGCTAAACAAACACCAACTATGTATTTTCTAATAATAATAATAATAATAGTAAATTTCAAAATAGTCTCTGACTTTTTTATATCATTATTTTACTCATAGAGTATAACGTTGTTTCAATATAGTCTCATGATTATGCAAAATTAATCTAAATGCTCTTTTTGGAACTAAATTAAGATCAATTTTGTAAACTGGAGTGGTCGAGTTGGAATCAATTTTGTAAAGATTGTGATCAATTTTATATTACAATTATAACATGAGAGACTGTTTTTTTATGGATTTTGTATAGCTGAGAGGCTAAATTGGTATAACATGATACTTTGAGACTAAAATTGGTCATACACAAATAGTTTGGGGACTGATATGTCATTAAAAAATCATCATGATCGAGCAAGAATCTTGATGCAAATATGAGTCGTAAGCTTCTAAAATTAATTTTTGGAGCAGCCAAACTCCGATTTTAGCAAACTTATAGCCAAAATTGAGCATCTCATGGAGATGAACCCAATGACACCAAATTCAGTCCATTCTGAGACCAAATTAGAGAGCCAAAACGTATTTGAAAACTTCAAAGCACTAATCGGATGATCAAATGATATCCAAGTATGACATATGAGCGGCTCAACGAGACAAATCCAATGAGTATAAGATCGTTTAATTTTGATATCATTAATGTACTTAAGTGCTGAATAGAACTCTAAATAATCGAGGGAATTGATATCAGTCGTCCAATGAAACACTCCATGTTTATCCTAGATCTTCTTCATATTTACTAAGCAAGTCACTATAAGAAAACTATAAATAGACCCTCATTCTTCACATGTGAAGGGGGAGAAGAAAGAAAAAAACTAAGGAGCTCTCTTGCATTCTCCAATCAGCACTGCCACCGCCAGATCTCTTCCCGACCATCAACCATCGTTGAACTTCCACCTATTCGTTGGTCGTCATTGAATCTCTTACCAACCACCGATATTTGTTGGATTTATGTATGTTCAATGGTCACAGCCGGATTTCTTCCAAACCACCAACCATCGTCAGACTTTCTCCTATTCGTTGGCCGTCACCGAATCTCTTCACAACCACTGACCAACGCTTGACTTCTGCCCATCTGTTAACTACCTCCATATCTCTCAGCATCATTGGATTTTTGCATGTCTGTTGACTACCACCAAGTCTCTAACCGACGTCGAACTTCCTCATGTTCGTTGACTAATATCAAAACTCCAACCATTGCTAAACTTCCACCCTTCCATTCATTATCACCAGATCTCTTACCATCGTTAGACCTCCGTTGAACCTTCTCCTAACTATTACCACCAGATTTATAATATCTATCACTCAATCAAGTTCGATAAAAACTCAGAAGCACCAATCTAAAGTTTGGCCAATTCTCAGATATGTTGTATTCTTAAAATTTTTGAGTTGAGGGACAAGTTGACCTTTGTCATCTATTCAAACATAGTGGAATGTTTCGTCTATGCAAGTCTATGCAAGGCCTCGTGTTTTTTCCATCTTTGAGTTTTCTACGTAAAAAAATTCTGATGTTCCTTTTTCATTTCAATTATCTATTTGTGTATTGAACTTTCGTGTAAAATATTTTCTGCCAGGAATCTCTCAACCCACAACTGGGACTATTTTGGAATTTTCTGATATTAGAAATATAAAAAAGTATATGGTTGGATATAAATTAAATGAATTAAAATATTACTTATTTCTTACCATATATTTCAATTGTATTAAAATATGAATGAGCGTGATAGGGAAACATAGGCGAGTGCAAGCAACAATGGTAGTAGTCTGAAATAATGGCAAGTGACAAAGACTATGCAGGGTAAAATCAGCAGGAGGTTGTAGGCGATATAGATGTTAATAAATGGCCTAAAATTGTAACATGACACAGACCTAGCTAAAAAAATTGGAGTTTGAGTTAACCCGATTAAGTCTAGGATTTTCAAGTTCATGAAAACATAAGCTTCGAGATATTTTAAATTCATTAAAATTTTACTTTCACTCCATGCCAATAAAATCATTAAAAAAAGTTTTTACATACTAGAATTCTTCAGATATCTAAGCTCTCTCTAATTTTAGGTCTCAATCATATATAGAATGGGAATTTATTTATATTTTTTTTGATGTGGCATTTTGATTATTGTAGTCAAATTTCTCAAGCATTAAATAGGGGGGCCTATCTTGATTATTTTGATCATAGATAATTTCTTAGATTTTTAAGTTCATAATTAAATGATGTTGTGATTGCTGGATTCTTTTAATCAAGACACTCATTTTAACTCTAAGCACACAAGATTCAAATATCGTTTGGTTTATCAAACAATATCATGAAGTTTTCGCCAATGCTTTAAATGCTTAATTTTAAACCTTATGGACCAAATCAAAACACTTATAGTTTCGTTGAATTCATCTCATCGTAAAGTCTGCTTCGATTATAAATTTGTTCTATCAATGCTTTATCTCACTACGTGGGGTTGACTACAAAAATCCTTTTTCTCCATTGTCCTATTAAGAGTCAAATTCTCATTTAAATATAATACAGAAATGTCATTTCTAATATTTTTAACGAAGTCTTTTTAGATCTACCTCTACATTTCTTAACATAAGCCAAATCTAATGCATCCACTCTCCTAACTGAGTCATCGGAATGCTATCATTACATTCTCTCTAATCTTATCTTGCTCTAGAGCTACTCCAACCTTTTCGCTTATATTGCGCATTTCAATTATTAATTTGTTGAAATTGAAATTTAGATGGTCTCAAGTCAATTTTAAAAATTTCTAATTCACATATTTGCATCAAGATTCATACTCGATTAATAATTTTTTTAGTGATATATCAATATTAAAATATAATTTAAAATCATACTTGATACGGCATCACAAAATTAGCTTGAACGCTACACCCTCTCACTTATCTGATTGTGTGCTGGATCTTCGTACAACGCTAAGACGTTAAACTATATATTTCTCTACCGCCGCGAATATTCCAGGACGCAACAATACTAATTTAGCCAACCATATATCCCCATGCAGCCAACTAATAGCCCCTTATTTAGCAGTTTAATGATATACTGGAGTTTAAGCTCATAGGCTCTATCAGTACTTAATTAGTTGCCTTCTCTTTTTGTTTTCTCGCACTTCAGCTTAACAACTTTTATTTAAATATTTAATCACAAAAAGACTAATAAACTTTGCAATGACCTTATTTACCTAACCAAACTGGATTATGATAAAGAGTTTCATGCAAGCACCATTAAACTAGTGATTAGCGACTAATGATAAATTTGGTTTAACGCTAATGATATCATTTAATGGCATCAATTAGATAAATTTCAACTAACCTACCTAATTTATTGGGTTTCACCGAAAGTGAATTGTATTTATATGGTTTCGTTCGAGATGGCTTTATGTGTTTCTTAAACTTTTTATATTAAAAAGCTGCTTTAAGAAGCAGTAAGAAAGCCGTCCCAAATAAGACTTCATTTGGGATAATTTTCTTACTGTTTCCTAAAATGACTTTATAGTATAAAATTTTCTAATTCAAAAATTTTTTGTACAAAAAAATTATTTTAGAAAGCAACAAAAAACATTGCCATAAAAGAAGCCTAAATGTTAAAAAGCTATTCACAAATATCACTCATTTCAACATCAATTAGGACCCTATAATATTAATATCTTATGGAGAGGTTGTATAATTCAAATAATAAAGTAATACTAAGTGCATAACACCAATGTTCTATCTCATAGGGAGGTGTAATTATAGTATTTAGAAGAATTAGACTTCATTTGAGACGGCTTTCATTCTGCTTCTTAAAATATTTTTTAGTACAAAAGTTAAAATTTTTGTACTTAAAACCTACTTTAAGAAGCAATAAAAAAGTCGACCCAAATGAAGTCTTAATTGGTTGTATATGACCTCAAGCTAGCCTACGTCTGGCTGATTAGAGTTCCCACTGCTCGATCTTATCTTCATTTGAATAAAATTTTAGCTTAATTTTTAAAATTGGTGGTTACCGCAAAGCTCTAATTTGAGGTTACTATAAAGCTCTAAGTACAAGCTACTATAAAGATTTAAAAGAACCAATAAGAAATTGTGAAAGTAAAAGTTGGGAAGGGAATAGTAAAATTTTAAATTTTTAGGTTTTCTTTGGGGTTACTTTTTTAGTTTTTTGTGCTTTCTAAAATCATTTTTTAGTACAAAAAATTTTTGCACTAAAAAACTGTTTTACAAAATATTAAAAAAAGCATCACAAACAAAATCTTACTTGAATTAATTAGAAATGTTTTTTTTTCTTTTTTTTTTTTTTGGAAAATTGTTAGTGTTGCGTCCTAGAATATTCGCGGCAGTGAAGAAATATAAAGTTTATCGTCTTAGCATTGTATGAAAATCCGGCACACAATCGGATAAGGAGAGAGGGTCTAGTATTTATAAGACACCAAGATTTTTACGTGGAAAACCCCTGTAAAAGGGGGAAAAACCACGGGGCCTAGCCTTTGCAGTTATACAAGATGAAGCCCTTCTTAAAGAGAAGGACCTTAGCTGATGTTTTAAACGTACAAGACATGTTTGTTTGGTTGGAAGATCCATTGTAGGTGATGGAGGTCGGAAGGACCGTAATCTGCAGGAGAGAGTTTAGAAAGATTATTGTCTGGCGATGTAGGTCGGAAGGACCGTAGCAGGCGATAGAGGTCGGAAGGACCGTAATCGATAGGTGACCGGGGGTCTGAAAGACCGTAGTTGGTAGGAGACCGGGTCAGAAAGACCGTTGTATGTTGATGGAGGTCGGAACAACCATTGTAGGC